CCCCGCAAACTTCCGCGCAGACGCCCCTCCCCCCCGTGTCCGCGGGAAGTTAATTGTAGGACAACGGATGCGATGCACCACACGCGTTCGTATATTAACACCGGACGGGTCTAATACACGACAGGCCGCCGCAACTATTAGCTGACCGGGAAAAGAAGATAAAATGGGCAGCTTGATCCATTGACATTCGTGTCGGGCGGCGAGGAGGAGGATCGGTTCTGAGACCGGGTCAGATGTTGAGACGAGTCTGTCGTCGGATCCTTCGACCTTTGCCCTCGCCTACCTGGGTCCCTTCCGCTCTTAAGTTGCATTCCCTCGTAACTCCCACGAAAACGTGGTCTTAAAACCGGAAGATTACCTGCCAGCTTGACATCAGAGGCTAATTAATGGGAGTGCGTTAGTGTTGCGTGGACGACACCGTTGGCGGAGCTCCCACCGTGACGAGCCATTTATGCCGACTCCGATTCATACTGAGGCATGAGCGCCATTTCCGACTCTCGACTTGGATTATATAAGGCAGTCGAGAGCTCTGATCGCAGACTCGTTGGTTTGCTAATCGCCTCCTACGCAAGCGCTCCAAGAATACCACGAGTCCACACCAGGAACAGCAATGAAGTTCTCTGGCGGGCGGCGCGAACTCGGAATGGACAGAGCCTCGAGACGCTTGGCCGAGCAGCAGAGCCACTCGAGCCTCGATCCCCGAATCCGATTTTCGAGTCGTTCCAATGTGGTTTTTCGCGGGTGTGGTCGTTTTTCGGCGGTATCGTAGGAGGCGGATTCTAAGTTTACATTCGCTCCTTGTTGACTTCGAAAATCGCGAGAGGGGTACGGCGAAATCGGCATTGGGAAACTTGAGAGGGGGAAGGAAAGCTTTTCTCGAATGGGAGTAAGGTTCGTCAAGACATGCTGATACCTTATTGCCGTAGAAGAAGTCCAAATCCGAATATCGCGGCAACCGAGAAATTCCGGGGGATGAGCGAGAGTCGTAATGTGGAAAGTTCCTCCAAGAGACCGCTCGATAAGGGACAGAGGGGAGAAGAGCACTTCTGGGAGCTTGTGATTTCTCCCGCCTCTTGATGATTTTCCCCGCTTGTCTAGCCCGTGCATAGACTATTCCGTGCGGGAATTCCCACCTCTGCCCCAAGAAGAAACATATGTGTGTGAGTCTCGGGACTCGATTCATCGATGAGGTCCCACCGCTGCCCTCGTTCGTCACAGAATTAGTCGACTCACTGCGCTCGGAGCACGGCTGACAATGTTCATATCTGCGCACTAGATGATGGCCGACTTCGGCTGTCGTACACGCTCCGGAAAACAATCGGTATGATGGGCTGAAATCGTATCCCCCACCCTGCGCCAGGGACAGGCAGTCTGAACCTTCGCTCGTAGTCTCGATTACAATATTAACGATGAGAGCTCGACCACAGCAGGAGGCTGCACGGAACTTTGATTCAGACATGGGACTAATACGTACATATATTCAGGGCTGAATCTTCGCGGAGATTCCCGCTGCTTCCGGGAATGTTGAGTTCGTAGACACGATACGGAGCTCGGGACACAAAATCAGCCGCTCTGAGCTGTGACAAATCTCGAAGCTCTTTTCATGTTTCTGTAGCGGAGCTCTTCATCTCACAGTAGAATACCGCTTGTTGCAAGGCATAAGGCGATCATCGTCAATCGCCATAACTTTGCATGGTATCCTCAGGACCCTCTGTCGAGCTCTCGAAGAGGTTCGCGAGCATCACGAATATTATATTGGTGGGGATTTTTCCCCTCTTGCCTGCCCGAGCAATGAATGTCCAAAGCTCCACGGTAGGTTGAACGAATACCGTGACGGGAAGGACAGGGAAATTGAGGCGGTAACTGGAAGCGGTAATTCGAAGCGTTCCGAAATCTCGACTTCCCTCGCGCGCGGTTTCCGAAGCTGCACCCGATTCCGAGCGTGTTTTCGGAACAAAGACTCGACTTCTCGGTGGAACTCGTTCCCGAACATCTCCATTCTCTTCCGCGCAGCCTCCACTTCCTCCCACTGATTGGGGTCCCTTCCCGGAATCCGCGGCAGAAAATCCCGATGGAGTCTGATCATTGGGGTCGCGTCTGCTTATTTTTCGAGAGTTTCCCCTCCTCGAGGCTCCAATTGCTGATAATTCGATCTACTGCCGATTGACGAAGCCGCGTTGATATTTTTTGCAGATCTTTCGACGAACCCACCTTCTCCGGCTTCAAACGGCGCCAATACAATTTTGGTCTGGGAAAACGACCGTGGCCAATGAACGATTTCGAGGAGTACCGCAAGAGGAAGTACAACTTCGGTCTCGGCAAACGGTCCGAGTAGACGACTCACGTACCCAAATGCAAGAGCCCCAATCGAAAAAAAACCGGGCGCAGAACAACGTTAGCATGTGAACGCTGCGCTCTGTCCGAGCCATGGTCCTCTTTTTTCTCGTTCACCAGAAATAGGAGACTGTCGGTTGAGTGCAAAGCGCAGAGCCGACATGTTTTCGCAAAAAAATATTCTATTATATAAATATATCGAGAACGCGCGTTTGCTGAATTAGTTGCTACTGGTGATGGATTTCAAAGCCAAGGATTCAAAGCGCATGCATGCAAGCCACCGGCACCATCATCACCCAACAATGTTGTCTATCCTACGATGACCCTAGTTAACGCAGACCGACGGAGTATTTCATTTCATTCGGAGCTATTTTGAGCCTGGTTTTGAAGCGAAGCCCGCAGTCCGATCGATCTGGAAGTCGTCTGGCCCCTTAGGTGCAGCAAAAGGTCAGCAGAAAGAAAGCCACGCAGGTGGTAGGAGATGAATAGAGCACGGCGAACCTGACGCAAGAGGCGAGCGATGTAGAGACAGAGAGGAAATCGTAGAAACAAACAATTAAAACAGCGGCAAGCAAACATCCTCCCGTCGATTGCAGCAACGAACCTTGGATCAAACAGAAGAAAAAAAAGACCGAAGTGCAGACAGTGAACCCAGGCCTCGAATCGTCAACCGGGGTTGGCGCTTAGAATCGTCGACGGATGCAGAAAGTGAGATCGTAGAAATGTCAGCAATCGGTACTGAGGAAGCTGGACTCGATCAAAATGTGTGTCAACGAACGGGATCGCATTTTCGGGGTGGCATGCTATCCCGTTCATGGTCCGGTTACGTGACGAACGGGAATGTAGGCGTCCATGATTGGAAGCAGAGATCAGAAAACCAGATAGGATCGGAGCGTTTCGGGAAAATAAATTTCGATCACAGCGCCCACAATACCGTTCGCTAAATGGTCTAGAAAAATAGATCGGCCAGACTAGACTCCACGTTGATCCTCATCGAGTGTGGCAGAGTTTCGCTGTAAATAAATATTCCATGCAGCAAGCAAAAATCTAAAAAAGCCCAAGAGCCCGATCGTCATCGATAGTCTTCGTAGCCCGGTTCGAGTTGTAGAGCCCATCCGTCGTAGTGGCGGTCTCAGGAATTCGGACGAATTCATTTCCGGAACGTTTCGGAAGGATGAGACGGTATTATAAGGGAACAAAATGGCCATGACTGCAACAACCTCGACCCAAACTGTCCCCGCTGCCCGCAGTGGAACGATATTGACGGAATGGAGAGATACCGAGGGAGGAGAATTCGACAGGTCCAAGGGAGCTCGACTCCTCAGAAGCCGGTTCGAGAACAATCACGGGAAGATTTCTGATGGGGGAACCGATTTCAGTGGAGTGGGAATCTCTCGATACCGACAAGGGTATCGTCGGCGCGTAGCTTCCGCGACGAACTCGAGTGCATTCTACTCGTTTGTTGTTGTTGATGAGAAGTCGCAGACCCTTAATCGATCAATCCAAAGCATCAGCTGTAGTCACACATAGTATTCAAATCTTCCTCGAAAGACTCGAATAAACTCTTATACTTCTCCCAAGCGCAGAGGACCTCATCTCATTTCCATAGGTTAGTCGGACAAGTCCTTCGCACCAATCCCATTATCGAATTTTTGCTGTTCCTTCGGTGAGGTGCCGGAATCCTGACTCCCCTTTTCCAGTAAGCGTATCGCTGATGTCCGGGAGGCGATCAGATCCCCGCGCTCCTACATTTCGCACTCAGGGCATGGGAAAAGATGAAACTTTCCCTTGAACGGGGAGTTTTCGGGCGGGAGTTCCTAGGAGACTTCCGCGTCACATCGGAGGATATCTTACTGCTTGAGATCTGCGGGTCCCTCTCAGGAATTTCACATCGAATTCTTCATCGCGTCCTCGACCCGAATAACGTGAAGTCTCCGAGGTCACGAGTTGATCCTTCTTAGTCAAGCTCCTACCTCTGGACTTATCTCTGCGTGTCAGGAGTTTCAACAAACATTCCACAATTTTTGGCATTCCGAATCCGAGACGATATCTCAGGCGTTGCTACCATATCAACTTCGTGAGTCTCCATATCGCATGAGCATAGAATGTGTTTAAGGGACAAATCAAGTCACCACTTATTCCTATAGCCCCAGTGGATCGGATGGAGAAACGACGAGGCGCAACCTGGATGGAATCAAGAAAGGTCCCCGGTCGGAGCGGATTTCTTCCCGTCCCCGACTTTCTGAATCCAAGCCGAGATCGGTCCGCTGGGAGCGTCCACGAGGAACCAGTGCCCTGCCAAACCAACGTCATGCGGTCAGCATTCGCGGGGTTTCTCAATGTTCATTGTATCTCTTAGGAAGGATTCGCCGGGACCTCGCGGGGAAAATTCGGTCGGAAAATTCACAGATCTAGTTATCGCCTTTCGAAGCGAGATTGATTGTTTGATGACTGATGGGATGGAAGGCGCCTTTCAAATCAAGTGGATCACCGCAATCCATAGAACCTAGCGGCCCGAGCCACAATTTCCATTCTCGTCTCCTGCATCGATCGGATACACCGTAGAAATGCTTCATCAAGAAGCACCGACCACGTGTCCTGCAGACGACCATCGTCAATCTATTCTCCGTACATTCTCGTCGATCTTTCGAGCAGAGCGATGATACTTGGAGTGAACTCAATTTATTTCAGCTAGGTGACATCCCCTTATTCGTCGGTTTGAAAATCATATTCCGCTCGCCTAGATATTTCAGCAGCTGTGCGATGTTGGTGCAGTCGTCTGGGGAAAGAGAAGTCTCGTGTTAGGGACGGACCGATTCTCAATCCAAGCAGGTCCTCGGGTGTGATGTTCTCAGAAGAAGGAAGTTCTCAGGATGTCTTAGAGCAATCAAGCGAGAGCACAATTTCACCGCATTGTGAAGTCGCTCTCTCGAATGAAAACTTCTCATGACTGAAAACCGCAGACTACAGATCGGCTGGGGACCTCTCGCGGAACAGTTTCGGCATGATTTCGATGGTGGGCGCCACACTTTTCCCCAGGACCCCCAGTGTACAATAGATCCTCGCTATTATGGACGCGGATGTAACGGACACCCAGACCGACAGCTCGATCCCGGACAAGCCTATGGTACCCTCAATGGCAATAGTCACGCCTATAGCGGACACGGTGACGAACTCTCGGATATAAGAGACAGATTGCCAGGCCCCGGTCCCATGTCCTTCAATGCTAATCAAATCGATTGTGACGGATCTACTCCTGTGGCTTTGAAATTCGGAGGCGATAGCCCAGTTGCGACTTGCGAGGCTCCTCGCCCCCATGCACATCGTGGGAAAGTGGCAGCGGAGTTCGCAATGGTTCCCACACTACATTCCGTCCCAGAACCGATCTTCAGATACAACGGAATTCAGAAGTCCCGATCGTTTTGGCCGGTCCCTTCAAGTCTCTCATGACGAGGCTACACGATATTCGTGAGCTTTCGCCCCCATAACGAGGCATAGGCCTGGCATTAGACGCGTTATAGTCTCCAACTTCGCAATGACCTTCGCCAGCGAGGAACTCGCGGCTGGGGACCCTACGGTGGCTCCGGGAAGCGTCTGCTCACCCGAAGCGAGAGAAGCCTCGATTGTTCCCATTTCCTCGCCTGCTCTATACATTTTGAAAAAACCCCCATTACCTAATCACTATCACGATCACCCTCGGAACTCGTCCCCTTCTCGTCGCCGCCGAATCTCCCGCCGACGGGGAGCGAATCAGATTTCCAAATCGAAGAGCTCAATAGAAATGAATCGAAGCCTGAGAAGTATTCGACCCTGCGATGTCGAGAGCAAGGCCAGCCCACACGGGAAGATTTGAGCAACATGAAGAATCGCATCTGCTGAAGCTACAACCCATGACGGTTGGAGAGCATAGAACTTCACCGACAAGCACTAAACTCGCTCGGCATGCTTGGACCGAAGTCAGCACACAGGTAGCACCAGGGTACAACAGCATGCCTGAAGCAATATATCAGTCTGGGTCTCACCGATTCCGGAGTGCGCGCGGCCCTGGAATTCGAGCCCCGCCTTTTCCAAACAATGGCTCAAACCTCGGGGCCAACTGCGCCAGAAGTAGAAGATGGGATACTTGATATTTATCCACTGCTGCAAGATGGGTGGAACGTCGATACCCAGATATGAGCATTGTCGTTTCAGACTGGAAAGAAGCACTCTGATTAGTCCGAGGAAGCCACACAGTCCCTCGAGGAGCATCCATGGGGAATGCTCTCAATAATCACGATTGTATGTTCTGTTTCGGATCTGGTGTACTCACGCCGTCGCCAAGTCCCAATTACCGAACGTCACCGGGATAGAGTTCTCCGTATTCAACCCATTGTCCTCCAGCCATTTCTCGAACAGCTTGAGTGTTTCTTCTAAGTTAGGCTGGTCTTCCACCATGCTCTGCATGATTCCCGTCAACTATAGGAGGATTGGGATCTAGACTTAATCTTGCAATTGTCGGAAACCTCGGAATAATAAGAGTGGAAACCTGGAGGGAGATTCTGATCCTCAGGTCACAATCATTCGAAGACCTTAGAAAAGATTTTCTGATTACCTCTGTGCAGAAGTCGGAGAGTTCTGGATGGACGTCGGGTCGCACGTAAGTGTGAAAGCGCGAAACTTCCTCGAAGGTATCTGCACTCAAGTTCAAGACTGGAAACTCGATGATTTCCTGGAATTATTCATCTATTCTGTCAGATAATTCTCACAGCGATGGTCGGGTCCTATCAATAGGCTCCGGAGCAGGAGAGACACGAGCCGGGAAGGGCTATGTTGCCAGGAAGAAGCTATCCTCGAAATGGCTCCGGCGTACTCGATCTTCAAACATATCTGACCTGTGGGAAGGGTTTCGGTCCCGCACGATTACAAGTGGCCTCGAAGTCCATGACAAGAAAGTTTGAGAAGACTTGCTTTGCCTTCGCATTCTTGATCATCTTCTGGTTTTCATTCACAACAAACTTCAAGATATTCTGAAAGTCTCCCCGATCTCGTGATCCTCTCTGGGAGATCCAGCGCACAGACGCAGCGGTCAAAGTCCGTCCTAACATTTTTTCTCGATCTACGAATCACGAATTCTCGATCCGCGCATGCATGGTCACACAATCACTCGGTCCCGGTGGTGGCCTTGCCTTCAATCAAAACATTGCAGACAGCCACCCGGAGGGGGAAACAGCGAATCCTCACAGGTTTCTGCTGTAGAAAAATGGGCAGGGCGCCGACTCGGCAATTCGACGGTAGTTCCGACTGCTGACCAGTTTCGCTCCGACGCGTCCTGAAATCACCGCTCGGAGTTCACTTTGCCACCGGCGCCTCCGCTCTCAGCTGTTGTTCATTCCGCCGAGTGTCAACGAGAGGGCACGCTTGTTGATCAACACCCTCCCTCTCTCTCACCGTGCGTGATCGGGGCAGGATGGAATATCACACTGGGAAGTGAGCTGGTGTAGCCGGAGTGAAGACCGGAGCTGGTTGTACGTACCGGGACTCCCGCAGAAACCCAATTTCCCTCTAGAGTGTCGATCGCATCACGGTATATCGGATGGTACGAGAAGCCTGCTCTTTGTTCGAATGCCAACCACGATCCCTCGAGTCGTCTGCTAGGGGTAAGAGCCTGGCGAATATTGGAACGAAGTGACAACGATCGATGCTGTATATGTGATCCTGATGCAGTCTGGGCGGCGCACCCGAGTGTCTTGACGGGAGTTTCCTGCGAACCACAGGGATAGTGTCCGACTCACACCGCTGAATAGAAGACACCATGGCATCCGGTACGTATCTTCGTTTCCCCTACAAATAGGATTCAGATTCCATGAAACAGAAAATCCGACTTACTCTTTGGAAGTCGGGGTCACGTGTCTCTGAAACTTGTGGATTGACACGAATTGAATATGACATCTTCCGGGTTGGGATACGATTCAGGACTTCTCTCTGAGGAGGACTTCTCCGGTGGAGGAGTTTCCGCTAGATTTGTCGAATGCCGCTGTTAAAGTCCGATTTATCCGATAACTTGTATGAGACCATGTCAGTCGCGAATGTCAATTCATCGATTTGCCGATTCATGAAGGCAAGTGGCTTCGCTCGATGTCCCTCGTACCTCGAAGGTACAGATGTAACTTCATGAATCGGAGGGACTGGCCTCCGGTCATGGACAGCCTTGTGCTCTCGTGTTTTGTTCACATCCGCTTAGGAGCACTCGGTGATGCTCTCACAGTAGCACGTTGTTGGTCTCTTCTGGCACTTCACATCCAAAAGAATTCAGCCGATATCCCCGAATTCGGGGCTCTAAAACTCTCTGTTCCTAATCCCACAGCGAACCCCATCCCGGAGGAAACGTCGGCGTCGTGTCTATCAAGTCAGCAGGACGAATTGGATGCGCTTGAATCGATTTATGGCGAGAAGATCTTCGCGCGGACCAAGACGGGAAATCTCCTTGGTGCTAAGCTGACATTCTCCACGAGACTCCCCAGAGAAAGTGTCAATGTGAAACTGGATGTCCCGCAATTCGAAGCCCAGAGTTTCAGGGTGATTTTTCTCTTCTCTCCTTTCAAAGCATTTGCTTTCGTTTCCGTGTACCTCCCCAAACTCCTATTTTTATCGTCTGAAAACTATTGCAACCTCCGGGAAGTATAGTCAAAACCAGGAACCCGTAATCGGATCGGAATAAATCCGGAATCTGCAGGTCAACTATCTACCTCCTCTCTATCTGGATCTGGTCTTCCCCGAGGGATATCCAGAGTTGGAGCCGCCACGCTTCGTCATACACGCACAATGGTTGAACATGTTCGAGCTCAATAAAATATGCGCTCGCTTGGACGAAATGTGGAAGGAGAATGAAAACATGATCATTGTCTTCAACTGGGTTGACTTTTTGGAGAACGAGCTTCTAAACTTCCTTGGTGAGAATCTCGCGCTCTTTCTTCGATGCTTCATCTCCCGATGAAACAATGAATATTCCTCCATGGTCAAGCGTCCAACGGGAAATCGTTCCGGGTTCATGATGTCCCTTTAACATGAACCGCTTTCAATGCAGGGATCGCCGACGAGATAGACCTGAAGAAGCTCTTCTTCTTCCAAAATCGTTCCAGCCACACGAGGAAGCGCGAGAAAACATCTGAAGACTCTGCCGGTACCTCGTCGGAACCAGACAGGCCAAGGGATTCGTGGAGCAGATTCGATCGCCGTGCCAAACTCATTCCTCTGCCCGTTTCGAATATCGTCCCGTTCCTGAAGGACTATAACGTCACTGCGAAGCGAGAGCATTTCGAGAACACTCCATTCGAATGCACAATCTGCTTCAATAGGGTACCTGGCAAAGATGCGACGGTCTTCAGCCCTTGCGGACATGCATTCTGCAACGACTGCACCGCGCAACACATCCGCACCCAGATGGACGGCGGTCTCGAGAGCGGGGTTGTAACCTGCATGGAGCCGGGATGCGATACAGAGATTCTCGGTAGCGAAGTGAAACGACTGATAGGCGCCGAATGCTTCGAGCGTTACGACGAACTGCTGTTGAAGCGCTACCTAAACTCAGAGAAAGATATCACCACTTGTGCCCGTCGATCTTGTGAGAAACCTGTGATCGCCGATCCGTCATCGACCGTTGCAACCTGCGCCGAATGCAATTATTCGTTCTGCACGGATTGCCGCCGTGCGAACCATGGTATCAACCCGTGCATCCTCAACTCAGAAGCTGAGAAGGCAACGATAGAGCAATATCTGAAGGGAGATTCGACGACGCGGGCGACGTTGGAGAAGAAATACTCTAAAAAATACCTCAAGGCTTTAATCGCCAACGACGAGTCGGAGAAGTGGATTTCGAAGAACTCCAAGAAGTGCCCCAATTGTCGAACAGACATCGAAAAGAGCGAAGGCTGCAATAAGATGGTCTGCTGGAAATGTCATAGCAAATTTTGTTATTTGTGTGGAAAGGACCTAGATCGCTTGAAGAACCCCTACGATCACTTCAGTGTGTCGGGATCGCTGTGTTACATGCGGCTCTTCGAAGGAGCCGAGGATGGAGATGAGCACGATGATGACGACGGGGATGAAGACGACGAAGGCGCGCATGATGGGATAATCGCCTTAGTCGAATTCGACGTGGAGCAATTTCTGAACGATCCGCGGTTCCGCTGGTTGGTGCCTTGAGATTGTCGGAAGCTTCCCAATCAATCGGTATGATCATGGTGGCGAAATAAAGTGTTTTGGAAATCTTTTCATTCGTGTATTCCTTCTCCCGCTGAGCGATATGATATGCTTCAGATTTATATTCCCCCGTGAATCTGCGCGATGGATCGGGGAATGGGGATCCCAATTTTCAGGACAATAAGTCCGGGGAGACCTGTGTATACTTTGACGCAAATCCTCTGGAGCGAGACGTACAAAAATATGTATGACGGGACGGCACCTCTGGTCCGGAGAGGACGCGACCAGGACTCCTCGATATCAAGAGGTGATCGATGAGAATCGTTTGTTCATCGCGAGGACAATCTACAGACTCCAGACGGGTTCTGAGTCGAGATTCCACAATCGACTACACGCGAGGAAGATTCTAGCTATTGTGTTCGCTGTCGCATTAGTGTCATTGAGCCTCTCGACTTCCCTGGAGTCGCAGCGCAGGCTGAACTCGTTCCCAGCATATAGAGAGATGGGTCGGGATGACTCGAGACTTGAGATCTCGTGTCTAATCAGAGTTCACTACTTTTTTCGGGGCCTCGCTCTGATTATGCTCTACCCCTCTGAATTCTCGCCCCCTGGAGGGAAAGGGGGCGGGACGAGATCGAAGTCCGGCAGCCAGACGAGCCAACAATTATCCTGGCAGGGAGAGAAAAGACAAAAGTCGGCGGATAACAGCCCTGCCCCGTTGAGAAGAAGAGGAGAATTATCCATGATTCCCCGCCTCTCTCCGACTCCGGCGCGAGACGCCTGAAGCACCTGTTAGGCGGAGATAGGGGGCAGGACCCCGGCCGGAGCAGCCATGGTTGGGGGATGCTCTCGCGGCGTGGTTCCAAAAGGCGTTGGATCCATTGAAATCTAGGAGAGAATGACTTTCGTTTCGGGAATATAAGGACGGACTGCCGGATCTGAGTCAGCGACGTAGTCGATACGAATCTGCAATTAGTGCATAAAACAACCGCCGGAGCATCCATCGAATCGGGCGCTCAGAACCCAAAGTTTAATCTTCGTTCCGGCCTCAGAAGAACCTCATAAACAAGCGCAACGAATTGCTCCGATTTTTCGACATCTCCCCGATGCGCATTCCCTCCAGGTAGAATCCCTCCTACTTGAAAGGGGGAAGTTCCCCACATGCTTCAGCGGGCAGAGACCGCAACTCAGTGACCGGGGCTGAGCAATCTCCGGGCGGTCACTCGGAATACCTCCGAGCGGGACAGCGACTACAGATGACAGGACGTCATCCTGATCCCGGACATCTCCAGCCTCGGATCATGGACTCACTTATCCAATTACGAAGCCCCGACTCGGGTCTTTCCTCGGTTCCGACATGACGTTCGGGACCTCCACTGATTCACATTCATTTGCCTGTCATGAATGTAGTATCTGAGCGAGGCGAGTTCTCGTGAAGTCCTTCAACGTATCGCGCTTTTTTATTTCCCAGGGATCTGTAAGGAGCATGCAGGTCGACGACGGTAAGTCCCGGAAAGGAAAACTCAAGTAGAGAACTGAAAAACTTGTTTTCCGGATGCCGATGAACACGAATAACAAGACTTATAAAATATGAGAGGCATTGAATATGCAGACAACGGTTTCATTGGAGCCTTGACGTTTCGACTCCGAAACAATTAACGACGCTGCAGTCTTTGTTGAGAGGACGACGGGCACGCTTCTCGAATTATTGGACTAGATTCCCTCGCTTCGTACGTCGATCGCTACTGATATGAGATGCTCCTCCCGAGGAGCTATGTACAGCTATGGTGTTCGCGGTCTGGGTTCCCGTTGAGGTGCAGGCCGCCAAAAGTCCACCGAGTTTTTGTTCCGTGCTCAGTCCGACCGTCCGTGGTCTCCTTCTCCCCTGCTTCTCCTTTCCCGGAGCTGGGGGTCCGGTGTACCGCTGACGAGACCAGGTAAGGCGTTCTCGTCGTTCAAACGGTCTCTAGCTCGATGATCGGTTGTGTGAACTGATGGCGAGGTAAATGAATGAGGATGGATTAATGGATGCGAGGGTCTGGGTAGACGGTTGAACGCACGGACGGACGGCAGGACAAACGGATGGATCGACCTAGAGACGTAACAGCGGACGCTGGTCGATCAGAATGGAGAGCCCGACGATTCAGATCGAGGTTAAGCGCGGCTCGCTCTCCGCTCACAAGGTTTCCGCTTAACGGTTTCCGGAATCTTCAAACAGGAACTTTAGAATCCTTTGACAATACCGTAAGCCTCAAGGGTACTCATGAGGACGTAAAATCCCCACAGACTCGCCAAGAGCACCGTAGTAGGCAATTTATACTTCATGGGGCCGCCCAGTTCCCCTCCTACGGCGGGCCGTCGTCGCAGCAGCAGAACGACGCAGGCGATTCCAGCGCAGATACAGAACAAAGTCAGAGAATAGGCCAAGTTTCCTGGGCTGACGCGAAAGGTCGTGCCGTTCTTCCTGCAATCGAAAATTCCCCCGTTAGCGCAGATTCGCGGCGGGAGAAATCACGGAGACCGACTCGATCGATTGGCCATTGGAAGGAGAAAATCTCCGGAAGTCACCGTCGACCCGGGAACTCGTCCACATCTAGGCGCTCACCAATGCACGAGGGCCGCAAGCGACCACGCGATCCCGATGCCGAGGAACACGTTCACCGCGTTTGAACCAGTGACGTTACCGATCGATGAATCGGCGTATTTGTCGTTAATTGCAGCGACCTTCGACGCGAAAGTGTCTGGAATCGACGTTCCTAAAGCTACGAAGGTAATGGCGGTCACAGAATCTGCTAATCCTATCGTGCAACCGAAGTGAGACGCTAAATCTCCTACGAACGCCGTCAGTACTCCAATCATCAGGATAGATACCGAGAAACAGGCCCAGCCACCTAAAATAGAACCAACTGCATTAGATCAACGGCTCGTTGGGAGGAGAGAGAAAGGTTCGCGGTCCGCGCATTTCCGGAACCCATCATTATGGTCATCGTTATATTATACGGACATAAATATTATGAGTATGATCACATCATCATTATATTATATGAACATGTATAGAATAAGACTAATTATATCATTATTACATTGTGTGTACGATAAATATAATGATAATGACATTATTATTATCGCACACAGCGTTTGCGATTCCCCGTCGGCTTTTCTTCCTCAGCCCTCGCCCAGCCGGGGATCTCGCGGCGACACTCACCGAAATAGTCGGTGGGAGGAACGAACGCGAAGACGAATTTCCAGAACACGGTGATGAAATGAAACACGTAGTCTGAGCAGGTTGGCAGGTTGGCAAGCGAATCTTTCGAATGGACGGATGACTTTCCGGTTCCACTACCCACGAGACTGCCAATCTCCTCTTCATCACCTGGGACACAGAGGGGATCGCATGAATTCGAATACCGGACCGAATCCGGACCGGCCATCCCACGATATTGAAATTCCCGCGGAAGAATTTCCCCGGGAATTCTTTCCTTTCAGAATTTCCCCCCACGCGCGATGATCCGCCGAAATGAGAACATTCCCAGCGTTCTGATCGCTATTATCGAATTCGAGAGCGCCGAGTTTCCCGGGGGCGGATCTCTCTTGTTGGCTGATACAGATTCTGTGGTTCCGAAACTCGAACGGAGAAATATTACCTTCTTCCTCGTCTCCGCCCTCTTCCTCCGCAGTAACCTTGAATGCTTCGATGAATTGATCTTTCCACGATGACGAACCTATCAGAATCGACGACTGCGTTTTCTGGAAGAGCTTGTCCACGGTGCTCTGCAACGAATCGCAAGCATGGCTGTGTCAATTGACGAGGCTACTTGGTATTACCATTTTCAGCAAAAGCAAATCGAGTTCCGCCGAGCGTGTCCGGTCGAGCGTCAGAGAGATTGAATCCGTCCCTGCACAGCGTTGAATCTCCGGAGGAGGAGGGGAGGCCTCCGGTTTCTGAGATTGCTCGCTGAGAGCCCTTGATTCAGTTTCGTTCATTATCTTCGAGCGAGAGCACCAGAGAGACGGGGAACGTTGGTTTCGTCTCGCCGTTTCGGAGCTCGCGGGTCTTCAGGCCCGGAGAATATTCCCGAAAACTCCGAGGATGTTTTCTAACGCATCGCTCCCACTCGATAGTTTCTGAGGACTTATTGTCTCTCTTCTATTTTCTCTTGTTATTATGTCGATGCCAAGCCATGGTAAACTCATTACGTGAAGCGATTCTCGGGTATAGAATCATCCGAGTAAATCCCTTCTGGATTCGATCCGGCGGGCCCCGAAGACCAAGAGCCACCGAGGCGCCCGGGACAAGTTTCTTTGTATCAGAGAGCGTTCCTCGCAAGGCTTCTCGAGGAGAAATTGCTCGAAACCGTCGTGTAGTAAGCCCCGACACGTTCCATCAGGGCTCGAGTCGCGAAACCGTAGGAAATGAACATCGACTCAATTGTCGCTGCATCGTAATGGATAGAGGAAATCACACACGGCTCCCAGCGCAGTTAGCGCTGGCTGGGCGGTCGGCCTGCCAGCCGCTCACATTGATCAAGGGCTACGTAGGTAGCTGACTTGTGAGGTGTGATTAGCTCGATGTGAGGTGCATAACACAACCTCATTGATGGCGAAACTTCTGTATTTAGGATTTGTTTTTGCCGGTGTAATCAGAAGTCCTAATTGCTTAGCCTCGGAATAACCGAAGGCGATGAACGTTGGTACCTCAGCAGTAACAGTACATTTGATTCGATTGTTATGTCTACGGGACATTCCTGGCTCCATAGATGAATCAGCGGATGGGCATGAGGTCACTTACTTTGAATTCTTTGCTCTCTCGGATGTGAATGATGCACTTGGTAGCTTCACCCAACTTCGGTAGACCTTGCAGAGCAATCCTTTGAGCCTTAGTGAGCTCGTCTTCAGGAATCGGGCTATCCCCCTCGAGCAGTTCTGCAACCGGAACAACACGAGATAGAAGAGAGTATTCGGCCAGCTAGAGCTCTCCTGCCTGATTCTGGGTACATAAGAAGGAAGTAGATAGGAATCATCTGACCGAAGACCGAATGGGATGGTCGATATCGGGGGGCTGGGAGGAGACGAGTCGGGAGCCACCGTGGGAGACGGGCCCGATCACCGTGGAAGAGCGCGCTCTCGAATGTAGGATCCCCAACAACGGGTCGTGTCAGAACAAACCGTGCGAATTAGGTCTAGAGCGAGCAGATTGCGGAACGCTCCGGAGCAAATGGATGACGATAGCGGAACGGGTGCGAGGGAGCACGCGTGGGGAACGTGAGTTCCTTGTCGAACGGATATGTACATGTGTTATATGGTACAGGGCGAATCCAATATTCGCCTCATATCGGTCGGGGACCCTGTCAGCGAACTCTCTGCTCTTGCGAAAGAAATGTGTTCAATATGCACCTTTCCGGGCCCGCTCGGTCCGCGTCCGTCTGTATGGGCCATCAGCGGCAATGAAAACTTGAAAGAAAAATTGGGGAAATCGAGAACTCATCAAGCTCTGTCCCCCCTCCTCGGCCTCGCTGAGTTTGCCCCCTCCCGGCATTCTCGTTGAACTCCGTCCGTTAGGGAAACATGCGAGGTTCAAAAACGAGGTGAGGAAGATTCCGTGGGTGAATGAATCGATCATTATTACCGAGCGTGCTCAGGAACTCAGGCTCGATCTTACTCCGGGCTCTCCTGACCGCGAATTCTTGTCTTGGCCTCTCCAGAAGAAAATTTAGGAGACCGCTCCAATGGCCTTGAGCCGTAGTCCCGCAATTGAAATAAAGGGCTTTCCGTTCCCGCGTTGGGACAACTTCGGGCCTCGAAGAAGGATTGCCCGCTAATTATTCCGGCAGATCGCAGAAAAATCGGCCGTCGCCACTTCTCGGGTGATTGGATTTGGCGAAGATGAACGTGCGGAGAGGCATACTTCAAGTTCTACACTCAGCGAGTAAGCGCCCAATGGAGGCGATGAAATCAGAGAGGAATCATCATCATCCCTCGAGTGGGGCGCAGTGAGGGCTCAGTCATATCGCCCGGGGCCCTGTGTGCGGTATTCCGCTTTCGCATTCCGCAGTCGACTGTTGAGAACCGGAGTGATTCAAGAATAAATTTCTTCCCCACCCAAAGGCAGCCCACGGTCATCTGCAGATTGTAACCATCCGATTTTGAGGATTCGATTCAGAGAGTCGGCTCACATCAGATCAAGCCGATATTCATCTAAGATCAATACTATGAGGAAACTACCAATCTATGAGGAAAATGAATTCACTCAGAATTCCCCGCAAGGAGGAATCACCGACGGGGATAGAGGGATCCTCTTCGCACCGTCTTCGGGCAAAGTATGAAATCGTCGAGAAACTGTGAGCGTTGATTGCTTACGTTGTTCAGTTTTGGGATCTCCGAGCTGGAAGACAAAGCTCAAATTCTTCTCGTAGCGTTCTTCGTCGTAGATCGTTATTGGAACCGTTTTCCTGCGGAAAAAAACTTCGGATATGAGATATTCAGCTGGGCATATCTTTTTATGACGGGAAGCTATGGCGGCTTGAACGACCACAATCGCAGGAACGAGAAGCGTATGAGGCCATCGAGCGAAAGTAAGCCGCGAAAATCGGTTTTCGGTTCCACGTACATTCTGCTGAGAATATCGGTTACGATTCGGTAAGCGCCGTGCGAGGAGGAATTCTCATCGAAGCGAACTATTGGCATACGACTCACGTTATCTCGTTGTTCTCGAATATGACAGTTCCTTCGACGTGCTCATACTGCTCGTCGGCTTTTGCCGTGTCGGCGATCGTCTTATAAGGCAGAACGACGCGTCCACGAGCGCCGGAACTTCTGTTGATCGTGACTCTGTATTCGCCCGTGGCTTCACTGAGCGTAACTTCGGTCTCAGCCAATTGGAAGCATCCACAGTGATCATCATCGAGAATCATAACAGTGCAAATAGATGGGGTATCAAGAACAACTGGTGGATCGTCCTCGTGAGGCTCCTGGCTGTAGCGTGGGTTCGACAATCTGAGGAAGAGCGATTTCGTTCTGTTATTATATCGATTCTTCGGGGGGTCGCGTTCGCCCGACCGTCGGAGGAAGACTGATTGTTTGCTCGCCTCCGCCACGCCTGACGCAGCGTAAGCTGCGCGATGATTCCCTATCCGCAGATCGGATTAAGAAAGTAGAGATAAGGGCAGGGATATGATGGCAGGAACGCGGATATCGAAGGAGAAGGGCAGGAACAAGGGGAGCAGCATGACGTCGTTAGCCCCGCCAAAGCGAGGCGAATCTTTCATATGCAGACCAGCTCGCAAGCGGCACGGATATCTGGCACGGATAGCATACATATGTGTGCATGTAATCATGCTGATTATGTATCTGGGTAGAGTTTGGCTCCTACGGATGCCGTCGCCCTCGTTGCCACCAGCGAGGCTTGCCCTTTCCCTGACCCACCGCCTCTGCTCTCCTCCGACCGGCGTCAATCTTTGCTGTCCTTCCCAACTGCGTCAACTCCGTCGACCGCAGGATTTTCGGGCTCTCTCCGATGGTCTCCGTAGCAAGCGAAAAATACATAAGGGGTCATCGACAGTGAATGAGGGAACATTTTTTTCCGATTCGGAAACCAATCTGAACATTCTCAGAATGTTTGACGACGATGTCCCCCGGACTCGGTGAAAGTCTGTCGAAGAAGAATGCTCCCCGAGAGCATTCGTCGCTGAAGGGTTTTCTACCGAGCGGGGCTTTCCCTCTGCCCCGACATGCCCGTTCTGAGCGAGATAGCGTAAGATCCCCGAAGTCGTAACGGAAGTTCTTCGGGTCGGAATCTGAGTAGTGGTGCCGGCGACGGACGGCGGTTTCTCACTAAGAGTCGACATGCGAAAAAAGACATTATTCCGGTCGGCTTGTGAATTCCCGACGACGACGCGACGCGGGGCTCTCTTCTCCCTGTTTACCCCGAGCCTCCCTGTCACATGCTCGCTTACCCCGCCGTCCACTTACCCCACCGCAACTCCGAGCCGGGCCCGGGGACGGATGGCCGTCTAAATGGAACGAGGCACAGCCAGCTGGCTGGCCATCTAGCTAGCTGGCTACATACATACATAGAATGTCCCGATTCATGCAGTGGTCGTATCTCCGTCGTCCATACGATGGCTCTCTGGAGGGAGTCCTAATCATTTTGCTTCTGCTAGCATCTTATAATGGCTCTCGTTTCAAAAAACATACGGGCCCTGTTCGCCTCGGCTTTTGAAACCTGACCTCCGAAAGTCAGAGACAGGAACTAGAGCACCGAGATGACGACGACGTGAGTTGATATCTCTCGGTCAGCGCAACCGAGGAGCTTTCGAGTCGGAGAATCGAGACGGTACGTACTTGATGTAGAAATGTTCGTCTTCCTCGAAAACTTCGTCATCGATAATTTTGATGGCGATAGTCTTCTCTCGTTCCCCGGGACGGAATATCAATGTTCCCTCGACGTGTTCGTAGTCGGGCCCCGCGACCGCCGTTCCGTCCTCGGTTTTGTAGTCTACGCAAACAGTATTGTCCACATTTTGTGCCTCTCGCACGACTACGGCCTGGAGCTCTCCGCAAGACTCCATACAAGTGATGTGGCCTGGAAGGAATAAATAGGCCGTCAACGAAGTCTGTGTATTCGTTCCAAGTCTCTCGAGACGCCGCGCCGCCGTGAGGAGCATCGTAGGCGGCAGAGACCTCGGAGACATTGTGAATTTTCGGATCTTACCGGGATCGAAATATAATTTGACGGTGGGAGGCTCATCGGTTGGTCGCGGGATTCCGAGCTCGAGTTCATCCTTGGAGAATGCTCTCGTCCTCCTATCTCGAATCTCCTCAAGGACCATCCTCGAAGGCCTCCTGCGCATCAATTGGCCAGCTCCCATTAGCTTCCTCGTCGCTTGAATTCTGAAATCGGAGGTTCCAGTGAAAAGAGAATCAACAACGATTCCAAGTTCCTCCCTCGCTGAAACTCGAGTTTGGGGCTCGAGTTCGGGGAACGATGGCCTTATTGCCACATTGCTAATTCAGATTGGCATTGGCACTCATTCGCTTCCACGACCGATTTTATTTATATCCGAGGGAGACAATAGGGAATCAAACGAGTGGATTAATTCATTATTCATTCCGGCGCCCACACTTCAATATGAGCCATTCATGGCGCCGCCGGGCTCGTATGGAGCCGCTAACTATGGGAACCCGGCTTTGTGCTCGGGCTAGCTCGCCAGCAACGGGAAATAATTGACCTCCGGGAGCCTCTGTTCCCTCCTTCCAAGTTTCCTCAGACAGTGCCGCTGACGTGTAACTTCACCTGCTGAGCGCGGGAAACGTACGGCAAAAAGAGAGGAAATCGTAAATTGCGTCAATAAATCTGCAAACCATCCGAATCTGCTTCATGAAGAAGCGAACGTGCTGGTGTAAACACCAACGGAGAGCTAATTTTTCAATGGCGGCTGAAATTCATCACAATGTCGAGCGGAACTGTTTCCAGAGAAAGGAAAGCGATTCGGCGAGAGTGTCTGGCGAAATGTTTATGACGTGCCGCAATCTCCGGGGAGGCCCGACGCGACCTCACGTGAGTTCCTAGCCATCATTCAGCTTGCGCTTTCGACTGTTTCCGCCGTGCAGTCTGACAGCAAAAATCGATTTCGCTGAACAGGACAGAAGCTACAGAATACTCCCGATAATCGAGACGGGAGTCGCGCGCGAGCGGGACTCGTCGACGGTGACAGCACTTGCGAGACGGCGGAATGAAAACGAGTCTCTTTGATTGACTCGGGCCTAATTCGTGTCACCCGTGGGAAATCTGGCTTTGACTGTCTCTGGCCTGCCCCCGTACGTCCATGAAAGCCTTGCAGACTCGCAGAATCGTCTCCGGAGGTGGACTAGAGTCGTTCGTGGATCGTCGTCGACGATGAGCCCACGCGCGTTACGGGTCGAGCCCGATTCTCTCGGTCCCCCACACCCGGATATCGAAGATTAGGAGTCTAGAGCAAGATATCGAGCGGATCGCATTCTTCCCTTGTCCTCATAATGAAACTTCCGTGGAATCGGGCAGGACCGCGACGGCACTGACCTGTAATAGGCGCGCGACTTCGGGCCTTGATTGAGTATCTCTTCACGAGCCATCGCTTCGAGTTCCTCCATGAGGGCGTCCGGATACTTCCGCCGCAGATTTCGGAGGATGTCGATGTAGTTTTTGCGATGCTTCTCAAAGGCGACGGCTTCGGAATTCTCTTCTTCGTGTTCTCGTTCATCGCCCGAAGGCACATCGCCATTAGACGTGGGTTGAATAATTGTGATGGCCGGAATTTCGAGGGAGCCTGAAACTGAACCTGGATGAGTTAGGCGTCCTTCGCTCCATTTGATATCGGGCGCTTTGTAACTCCTCGCTCCCACACGGCTGTTTCCAGTCTCAGGATCTCGGCCTGTTCAGATAAGCTCGGGCGGGGTTCGACGGGCGGCGGGGCTATGTTTCTTCATTGTACAGTGGGCGAATGCGCCGAGTAATTTGATGACGCAACTTGCGTCGTCGACAACTTTATCCACAACGAAAATTGCCCAAACAAGCTCTATTGGTGAGGTGGGATCCGCATGCTAGACGCGAAAAAATCGCATCCGCGGGAACGTGGGCTTCCTCGCGGGGCGTCGTCAGGCACTCGGCTTTCGGGTGATTCGCGCATCTGACACGTTTAGAGACGTGATGCGGCCAAGGGCGTCCACAACAACAACGACAACAACGAGGGTCAAGGGGCTCGTACGATGGGCGGACGGCAGGCGTTGTTAGAGCTCGGAGTCGCTCGGACTGAGCCGTTTCTGACCGCCCTCCGACAGAGAAGAGAAAAGTTTTCGAGAAAGGAATGGGCTCGCTTCATCATACGAGACGTAGGACAAGTACTAGCGAGTGTTAACGGTCGACGTAGGAAGAGAAAAAGCTCCGGGCGAGAGGCTCAGGAACCAAGACGTCGGGAGCCAACCTATTTCTCGAACGACGAAAACGAATCGTCACGGAGTCGAAGGTCGCCTGTTGCTCAAGGCGGGTCTATCCACCGACCTTCCGGTCCGCTAGACATCGGGAGCGAGAACATGGAGTCGGAAATTCGTTTACCTCAAAAGGAGGTGGAAAAGAAGATGAGATGAACGTAACGCTCCCAAAAGCACTTACCCTTCCGGCTGCTCGAAACCGACTTCGACTCTTCGTCGCCTCCTTCCCCGCCAACGATAACTCCTCGCTTATTCAAACGGTACTGCCTGCCCTGGAACACGGAGAACTTTGATGAAGTTTCAGCTCCTTGCTCCCCGAGGACCGACTGAGTCCACGAGGGGTGAAGTTCCGCCTCACTGAGATTGGTTGGCCGTAGCGGACCAGACGGTGTTCGTCGACTTTTTTCTATTGCGATGAATATATGCGGGCCGGAACTTTGCGTAGTCAGACGTGATCGAATCGTAGCTGAATCGATTGGTTTACGGGGGCTCAGGGAAAAATCTCCATGGGCGACAACTCATTCGACGACAAAGTGCTGGGAAGCACCGGCTAACCATCCGCTTCCGCAGGGGAAATCTAATGGAGAAGGCACGTCGCGTCGTTAATGGGGATAACAACGGCCGAACCTGTCACCGAATTCCGTGGCGTAACGTGAAAAAATGGTCGCGCAGCAGCGCTCCAAGACCGTTCCGCACTCCAGACTGAACGGCGGACTATGTTCCATGGAACGCGAACCGCGTTATTATTTCTCTCCGGCAAGGAACGGGGGCGACAGTCATTTGCGGATCGGATGGGATCCGCGGTACGAGAAGCATATCTAGAATCCGCTAATATCGTGCGCGCTCGCGGAAGATCCACTCAATGACGTTCGCCGACTAGAGGGCGAGGGTCGGGGTGCTCTCGGTCGCGAGCGAAGTCCTCGAGAAGCGTAGCATGGAATGCCTGATCGCGAATGCCTCGGCCCATATGACAAAGCATAATTTCCTGTCAGCATATAATCCATCAAGAGCGCAGTGAGTTCACGCCGAATCATGATGCTGGCTGAACGAAGAGCTGCTCTACCCTATTGAGTCAGATTGAAGCGGAATCGTGCCGACAGCATGTTTATTGTGACACATCCGATCGGTCGATGAAGTTTGTCATACCCCTGAATCGCGTATCTCTCTCTTCATTATCTATCGCCGTTCGTCCGTCTTCCGAATACTCGATTCGGTGATCCATCTAATCGTCGAGCCGAAACGGACGATTGATGCGTGTTCATGTGTACATGGGTCTATTCGAAACGAACAGTGTGTTCCATCCGAGATGTCGGTCAATATGCTCTCGGCGGAATGTGTCGTTCGTGACAACTCATTCAGCCTGTTCGTGTTGACGTTGAAGCTCGTCCGGCCGGCAGGCTAAGACAGATGACTACAGACTGGGATTGATTAGTTACCCGAACGCGTTCATCAACTTTGTTCTTTCGTGGGCTCTTTGATTCTAACGAGTCAGGAAGCCGCCGCTGTTCCGTATCATCGTCGTTCGTCGCGACAACTATATGTGACCGCGCTCCGCGACTTCTCCGTCAGGTATCGAGAGCAACACGAGTCGCTTAAGGAGAAGCTTAAGGAGAACCGGGCGCCGATCCTTCGGTGTTCGTGAAATTGCGGTGGAAGGTGGAGAACGGGAAATTGAGCGCAAGGATACGTCCCGCTGCGACGCAATAAGCTCTCTGTCTGACTGACTGACTGACTGACTGACTGAGTGACGTTGATCACCACCTCTGTCCTGATCGGTGTCTTCGAATCGATCCCGAAAACATGGATTCGCGACCTTCGCACTGTCAGACTATATTTACCGCGGTCGATAACGAGTTTTCTATTCGTGTTGCGTAAAGGGGAGCCGTAGCATAACAAGAGGCGGAGCCGCAATAAGATTCCATATGATAGCTGAATGCACGCAGACTGTTGTAATTGTGCAATTCACGTCAGGGCGCCAAGTTCGAGAAAGATACTCCCCGAGATTCAACTTCGGATAGTCCGGAAGCACGAGAGGCGCTTCGTCCCATAGCCGCGCGGATGTTTTTCCTCGAAGAAAACCGACTCGCGGCCGGTCGACTTCAGATTTGGAAGTCGTTCGGTGACTCGAAGTGCTGTCGACCGGAGGCGAGTTCCTGTGTGTACGTGATTGTGTAACTACGTAATAAACAGCGCGTAAGCCTGTCCTGTCCGACGGGTAAATAGAGGATCATCCTGAGAAATGTTTTCCGGCTCGGAGGGCAGAACTGTCCAGGACGCGGAGGCTTTTCCCGAGGTCAACAAGAACAATCTGTGAGTAGAGTGTCAGCGTGCCTTCACGGTACGCCTATTTCTCTTAGTCCTCCGTACCGAGTGAGGCCATCCGTACGGAGTCGGCTTGGTCGATGTTCTTCCCTCTCTCTATCTTTTTTTTTTGTAGGCGCTGGACAAACTACATAGCTACCATATACATAGGACGGGAAAAATAGCGTCAGCGAGTATGCGATGGTTTCAACTTACTTGAAGGAACTTGCCCAACAAGAGGCCTCGATCGGCCGCATAGGCGGTACCGACGGTGATGGGGAAGAAAAGGAACGTGAGAATGCCCTCCCAGACTTCGATGACTCCCGACGAACTCCACGTCAGAATGGCGTACAGCCATATATAGGCGAAAACCGACCATGTCATTGTGACGGCGAACACTCGCAAGTGCTTGATTCGTCTGAAATGGAGCGGATGAATTTTTTAAGCGAATTCCTTAGGGTCCGTTGCCTCTCGGGATCTCTGCTCCGGAGTCGAAAACGAGGCCTTAAGCGATATATTCTAAAAACAGTTCTCTGTTTTTCTGCGCGGGGCGATCTCTCGGACCCTCTCCCTCGGCGACATGCTCGGCTGACGCAATAACAATACAGCGAGGCTGCGTAAAAACTCGTCCGGCCGCATTCATGATGTGACGAGTCAATCGAGCGATGGGCGGATTTTCCGCCTTCGACCCTCGCAGCAAGATATAGCGAGGTGGAAATAGCGGCGATGCATCATACGATCGACGGGAGAATCGTTCCGCCGCCGATGGGGAATAGAGTTCGACGGCGGCGGCGATCCACGAGTGGCAGCAGCGAGCCGTCGCAAACATCAAGAAAGCACTTCGGAGTGGCTTACGTTCCCTTAACGAGACCAGAATGATCATGTGAGCAACACGCAGTTGGCTGACTGAACGACCGACTGATGCCTCCCGCCTCGATGTGATGTCCCCCAACTGTGAGCTGATTCATCCTCCCTAGAGAAGGTAGTCGCTTCCCTGAGCTCTAGATTAGGCTTCCCGCCTGACTGCTGAAATACTCGTCCGACTCGCTAACAGTGGAACAGAAGAGCAGACAGATAGATAGGCTGCTCGACTGCACCGATCGGACAAAGCTGCCCAGTACGGTCTCGATGGAGGCGGCGGCTTTCCATCATCGGATTGAGAGGATGCGGTCGATCGTCTGTATGCAAATGACCGCCGAGGTGCGGAAGACACCGAATCCGGTAGGCTGGCATATCCGTTACGCCTATCCGCTCGCCAGCGACCGTATTTGTGTCCACGGACTTGTGAGCCACCGAAGTTTCCATCCACGGTGCAGTGGACTGAACGCGACGTGCACCTCATAGTAACGCGATACGTCGTCGTCGCCGAAGAATCACTCAGGCATCAGACAGGCGAGAGGGGGCGGGGTCCCTATTGCGAAAGGATACCGCTCGGACGGACGGACGGACGGGGGGCGATAAACAATGACGTGCTCCCAGATTTACGGACGGACGGACTGTCGACCTACCTCACTTCATTCGACGGCACCGACCAAACACAAATGGCAATGATGACGAACAGATTAAAGGCAGCGGAGCCGACGATCGTTCCCGGTCCAAGATCTCCCGCCTCGAAGTTCTCCGCGTAGATCTCGATCACAGACAGCAAGATTTCTGGAGCCGAAGAACCGAGTGCCATCAACGTCAGGTTCGAAACCGTTTCATTCCAGACGCGGACGGCGATAACTTGCTTCTCGCCATCCGGTGTTGTTATAGTGACCTGGAATGTATTGGACGAGCTCTTAGTGAGAAGTGCAGTGAGAAGTTCCTCGCGGACTCGCGTGAATGATTCATGCGTTGCCCTCGGGCGGGCAGCGACTCCGCTAGAGGAGGATGGAGGGTCGTCAACGACACACCGTCGAACGCATCTTGTTGAATGTCTTTTTTATTGGTTGGGCTATTTCTTTCGTCTCCGTTAGGAAGTACCTCGGGACAGCTATAAATTGTTGCCAGGTTTCGGTGGGTTCTCATTAGCCGCTTTATAGACTAACCGACTGATTGACTGACTGTCTGACGGACGGACGGACAAACTGAACGACGAGTGGACGACTAGTCAAGAGTCTGGCCGACTCGGAAACGCTGCTATCGGCCTCGTTGCTCACGGGTTTGAACTGTGGCTTTCGTGAAAAATTACAGCAATGCTTTTCGAGACATTAGCACGATACCGCTTCCGACTTGCGTCCGGCTGACGGTCCTCCCGTCCGGCGACAGAGTTTCGTCATTCAGACTTTTATTTTTGTGGAGAACCGAAGGCTCGGGTTAGCGATATTGTCGCGGTCGCCGTCACCGTGTGCTGGCCGACGGCCAATCGGCAAAAGGTGCGAGCCCATACAGTTTACATTGGAGTCTACGAAGTACCGAGAAATGAGTAACGCCAACCGGTGACAGCTTCCGTCGTTACATTTTCACTAAGCGTTAGTCAAGAGGCGAATCGAGTCGAGTTCCCGCTCTGCTATCAGACTCTACTCAGTCAGTCAGTCAGATTCGGTCACCGCAGTCGATTTTCCGAGCTCAATGCCTAGGCAAGAACCGGTTGGTGGCAGACGAACCAAAAAAACCTCCCCGATCGGGAGCAGAACACCAAACGTGGCGGATTATTTCTTTCGTCTCGGTCAATGAAAACAAGCCGATGCGACTTCCGGAATGACGTCGCTCGGTGGTCACCAGCAAAGCGTCGGGAACCGATTTGTCCCCACTCTGAGAATTTCCATCGGTGAATATCGCATACAACAGGGAGGGAAAAAGAAGAAGAAGACGAGGACTACCACCAGGACCAGCGAACGGCCCGCCGTCACTTCAAACACACAATGGGTCCTGCCAGGTCGTTGATTTCGATGGGCTGCAAGATGTGACGCCTCGATGCGACGATGTTCCGGCCAGAGCCAAGCAACCGCGACCAACAAGTTGACATTCTCGTCACATCTTCAAGCGAACGGCCACGGAACGAACGAACGGAGTATAGTCAAACGAAAGAACAACGATCTACCTGCTTGCTTGCTTGCCTACTCGTCCGCCCGCCGAAGAAGCCGATCGATCTCGAAACATTGTTGAGCATACGGCCATTGGCGAGAGGAGCAGCGGCAGCAAAAAGACACCGTTGGTCGCTAATGATCAACACAATCGCTATCTGCCCTCGGTGAACGATTTCACTCTCCTCACGGAATTACAGTCAAGTCTTCCCACTTCGTGAGTCGACTAGACTGGGGAACTACCTAGGTAATTGGATGAACGCATCTTCTGCACTAACCTGTTTCTCTAGCGAAGTGATGACTTCGATGGCCGCCATGAAACGATCGGCAACTATGGAAATGCCCACGAAGAAATATGCGAGTCCTAGAAAGTATATTATTCCTCTAGCCCAACGATCTCCCGTCGAAAGAGGCTCCAGCGGTCGCCACGCCGGAAGAATGAGTCCGTCTTTGCATTTTCCTTTCTGGTGAGCGGGAACCTCATCGTCGGTGACGTTCGTCGGTGGCTCTTTCAATTGAGATTCGCTCTGTAGCGCAAAGCCCGGCCGGAGTAGGTAGGTCCAGAAACCGGGGGAATCCCCGTCGACGACCTCGTAGTCGTCCGTGGATGACGATTCTCTGCTTTCGCTAACGACTTTGACTTGGGGAATTTCGGCAAACACGGTGGCGAATACGCTCGGGTTGTAGGGTATCCGGACTTCGTTCGACGCGCCCCCACTGCCGCTGCTGCTCCCCCCGCTGCTGGAGCTGGCGTGTGCCGCTTCCGCCGAAGGCAGACCATGCGAGAGTAGGGAGACGACGACGACGATGACGATGGTGAATAGCAATACAAACTGGTAGGTGGGGATGAATTTACAGAGAGGGTGACGCCGTGAGCGCAATGCCCGGTCCGGAGGGCCTTGCGAGCTTTCCATGGCGTGCTCATCCGTCAAGTCGGTGCTCCTCCGCGCCGCCACAACGTATCTCATCACTCCGCCGGATGCACTGGGCCAGCGCGAAGTCGACGTCCGATATCAACCACTGCAGGCACACATGATCCGTATCACCAACGTCTCATAGGGTTCATTTCCGTTTTGGGAGCGCTTGCCACGTCGCCTCGCACACTACTTGAATTTCATGCTGTCCTGGAAAGGAATACCGTTCGATCAGTTCAAGTTTCCGCTGTCGCTTTGTTTCTCGATCGATCACTGAATGCTCCTCGCTTTGCGGCAAAGAATTCATTATCGGGATGAACGCATCTCACTTCACTCACTCGCTGGCTAGCAATCAAGCTAGCTAGCTAGCTGGCACCGAGCATACTGGATGACCACTCGTCTGACTGACCGACTGACTGACTTGCTGAGTGACTGACCGGCGGACAGACGGACGGAAGGATGAACGAACGGAAAGACAGACGAACAGACGGACGGACGGACAGACAGATGGACGGACGGACGGACGCACCGACAACCACTAGAAAGAGCCTCAACAGTGCGGCCGTTCAATAGGTCCGGCCAGCGGCAAGCCTAGCTGGCAGCAGGACCACCTGCTAGACGAGGACGGCCCCGATTCGAAAGAGGCGGTAAGAAGGCAAACCCAAGACGAACCCTTGAGCGTCATCACAGCGCCCTCTAGCCCACAATGCTCACCGATGCTCAGAGCCGAATTCTTCGCCTGTCGGTCTGATCGATGCAACAACAACTTGCTACAAGGCCGCTATCCCGCAATGGATCCAACACGTTGCTCTTTACATCTTCAGTTTACCCCCCTCTTCGTTCGCCATGACCCTCCGTGGACCCATTCATCAATTCTGGTCGGCAAGTCCCGACGTCTGAGCGTCCTGCAGTCCGAGCGCCCGAACGTTCCGACGTCTGAGCGTCTGGAGGTCGCTGGGAGCGCGAAGTTCATCACGTCCGGGAGTCTGACCGTCATGCGTCCGGCAGTCTGACCTTCCGTTCGTCCTTACGTCCGGGAGTCCGACCGTTCTTTCGTCCGAAAGACCAGCCGTCCCCACGTTCGGAGGTTTGGGAGTCCAGACGTTCTCTCCGCGTCGATCGGTCGATCACCGCATACTCATATGTCACACAGAACCACCGCGTGAGGATCTTTCCTCTGCCCACGTATTTGTTCCTTCAGCCCGTTCAGCCAGCAGCGGCTAGCACGCCAATTCGTCGTTCGAGCTCAAAGGACATCGTTCCAGGCAACAATGGTCACAGACCGATGAAAAATAGCCTCGTTGTCCTCCTGATCCATCATTGTGGCTATCGGAATGCGACCCGAAAGATTGATCGACAGACCTACCACCGGGATTGGTCGAGGTCGGCCACCACATTTTCGCGTTCACCGGGCCTATGATTTCTAATCGATCGCTGTTTCCTAGCGTTTTGTCTCTCAGATATTTTTTCCCGGTGCAACGAACAGCGCGCTCCTCCCTCGACCACCGAGAAGAAATATTTCACTTGGGGGAACGGCGGACTCGTCTCCCTCTAAATATCCAATTATACACCGCGCGGACACGGGGCGGACGAGAGAGCGACTGGACCTCCTTGTCCCTAGAGCTGATACGGAATTAATCACAGACGCTCTGCCCGCTTCGCTTTCCAAGACCCGAGCAGTAGGTACAAACACGAAGCCATAGAAATGCAGAGCACAAGACCGACTGTCCGGTCGGTCAGTCAGCGAGCCGGCCATCCAGCTAGCCGACTGATCACCGCCGCTTTCGATGTGTGTCACTAGAGGGCCTTGATCTCGGAAGAACACAATACCCTCGGTTTGCCCAAAGTTGAGGCTGCTGCCGCTCCCTATGGAGGACGCAGACGACTCGCCGCGCCATTACCACTGGCACAAGAGATCTCTCAACATCTCGTAAAACCGACGCACGCCGATCTCCCGTGAGCCTCGGCTCTGAGTACGTCACCGGACAGGGTAGCCGGAACCAGCGTCCCGCCTCAGATCTTTTATAGCGCCCGAATCCTCCTCCCGGTTCGAAAATTGCCAAGATGTAAAATCGAGCCAATCACGACGGCCGCGTCCATGGAACGCCATGGGGTTTGAGCTCAACGCGCGGCGATCCGATCGGGCTCTCGAGAGAAACGGAGAAAACGCTATCGAAACCACCTACAGACATGTACTCGGAAAGTCTCCGATGCCGTCTCACGTGGAGCTAGGACATGCCAGTCCGGGGACTCTCACTAGAGCCATTCATCTTTTCCGTTGCCGAGTCGACAGGGAAAGTCTTCGAAATCAGCTCCTCTCAGGGAGAGCGTCATCGGAGAGATCGCGGTCTCGATTTCCGGACAAACAAAGCCAGGGAAAAATCACTGTCTTGTGGAAAAAAAAACGTCTGGCGACGGCAGTGATCTACGACGATCAAACGAAGCCTTTCGGGGAAGAAAGATTTCGCTTTTCGATTCGGAGGCAGAATCATTCGTCTCCGGTGTGGTGTTCGTAGATCAATAGATCCCCACACTCGTAGATCACACAAGGTCAAGAAGAAGAAAGTAGAAGCCACCAGTGGCAGCGAATTCCAACTAAGGTGGAAACCAAGCACAGGTTTACCAGAAGCAGACCTTAGGTCCCGTTCCGGGTGTAAATCTCGAAGGTGCCACAGAGCTTGTCTGAATGACTGCCTGCCTGCCCGCCAAGCTGCTGGCCACCCGAGCGCCCGGAGGGCTCGCTCGATAGCCGGGCGCATGCCGCCGGTGGTGGAGGCCACCGAGCATCGGCACCATCATCACATCACTAAGCACAGCAGCACGGGAAGCGGCTCGCCAGCAGCGTTTGTGATGTAATGAATGCCATGTTTATGTATCACAAATTCGACGATTTTATGTTCCGTCGAAATGACATGAATATGATTAACAGCCGTCTCTTCCGGACGGAGCCGAAATACGAGAATGCCCCGGAGTAGTGTTGAAGCTCGCGTCCGTCTCCCACCGTCACTGTGTGCAGTCCGGATTTCTCCGTCGAGTTCCACCGGGACGGGATCCACAGGTCTGCGTTCGAGATCTGACGGAGGAAAGCGGAGTCTGCGCGCGAGATCGAACGAATGCCGGGACAATAGACCGGGGAAGAGGGGATCTCTCACACAGAAAAATCGCTGAGACCAGCGTAGACACTCGTGGGAGAGAACAGAAGAAAAAGACACACAAATGAATTGTCTTCTGCTTCTCTTGTCCGATTCCCTCCTCGGGAAAACTTCGTCGCACCGAGAACGCGCTCCGATGTTGATTCCGACTGTCGTTTAATGAGGCTCGGGTCCGACACAACGACTCGGAGACCCGAATCGGGACGGAGAAAGAAAAATCCGGAGCTCATCGACATCCCGCGGGAATCGCCGTCCATAGCTGAGTCGCGGCTTTGAGTTTGGGCGAGACCTGTTTACTCAGCTGAAGACGGTAATGACGCCGGCGACGACCCTAAAAACGCTGGTGGAGGACGGCACGCTTTCCGTCGGCGTGCAAACAAGCATTCACGTCACCGACGATGCCGCTCTGAACTGAAGTAGGCGCTTCTGGGATCCAGCTAATCCGCGGCGTAGACGTGATTTGAGTTCACCGACTGCACGCGAACGGACACAGCTCGCGAGCATATCGAACGCTGGCTCGTTCCAGACTGACTGACTGACCGACCGACCAATCGATCGAACGACCGACGAAAGGACCAACAGACAGACTGACTGACTGATTGGCGAGGCCTGACGACATCCACCGAGAGCTTCTTTGCTCCGTGTCACGCCAAACGACTCAATCGACGAACCGTCGTCGATGCCATTGACTGCATCGCGTAGATCAGCTGATATGTATCTGTTAACGCTGCAGAGTGTTGCGGGTACTCAGTCCGCGCCTGTCGGTATTCCGGTCGCTGTTGATTCCGCATTGATCACTCGAAACTTTCTTTCGCTTGTTGCTCTCGTTGTTGTTGAATGCGTCGCTGGTGTTGCCGCTACTATTGTTGCGGCTGACGGCTCACTCGAACATTCACTCCCCGATACGGACGAATCCAATCTGAACTCACCGAAATTCACAGGCGGTGCTTGCGGCGGTGGCGGCGGCAGCTCTAATGCAACGATAGATTCACCTAAGATTCACCCAAGCTCGAGGGCCTGTTCCAGACACCGCACCGTTAAGAAACCACCACGACGACGACGACAACGACGACGACAGCAGCAACAACGACCTGCGCGCGGTCGAATTCAGAGATCTCCCTTTCTCTGCTGCCAGGCTGCGTGGCTGACTGGATGCTGCCCGCTTCCTTCTGTGCTCACTGCGGTTCGACTGGCCGTGGTGGCGACGGCAGCAGCAGCAGCAGCAGCGGGCTGAATGGCCGGCCGCCCCGCTTGGGCACCGCTAAAGTCTCCGACAGTAGAGTAGAGCGCGAGACTGGTGAGCTTATGTTGCCACCGGCCGCTGGTGCTGGTTGTTTCGGTGGTGGTGGTGAAACTTTTCACTGCTGGGATGCCGGTTCTCGTTCCCAGTCGAATAGAGTCTGCCGCCGCGCCACCTGAGTCTCCTCCGGCACCAAGGAGAAAGGGAATAGCGGAGAGGCCGAAGGAAAGTACACCACCATCGAGTCTGCCAGCAGGTCCGACAACTTCAGAGCCGACTCGGATCCCGAGTCGGAATCCGCCGACCTCCTCCATCGGAGTCCGATGCCGCTTTTCCGTCGATATGGAAGCTTCTGGGGCAATACGCTCCCAAATGGAGAATAAGCGAGATGGGTTCGGAGAGGCGTCGCGTTGATCCCCCTCGCCCCTTTGCCCCAACCCAAAGGAACGGCTTCAAGTGTAATTTCGAGATTTGGAAAATCGACTCGACTATTGAGCGACACCACGCCGCTTCTGCTGCCGCATCAACGACGTCGTCCCTCTGTTGAGCGAATGCGGATGCCAGTCTTCGAGGGAAAATCTTACCTATCACAGGGGATTACCGGTCAAATGGAAGCGCAATGACAATCGAACACTTGAATTTCGTCGGTGTGATCAAGCGTC